TCAGAATTGGAAAAAAGCCTTTTATATGGTTTAAGCCTGGCCCTTCAGGGGCACAGTTCACTCACTCCTGGAAGCCCATAGGTCTGGCTGGGAAGTGGACTAAAAAATGTGAGAAACAGATTTAGGGGCAAGCCCTAGTCCCAAGCACATATATCAGAACGGAGCCAGGTGTGGTGGCCCACACTTCTAATCCCACCACTCTGGGAGGTTGAGGCAGGAAAATCCCACGTTGGAATCTAGCTTGGGCAACAGGAACTTATTAAGACCTTGTCTCAAAATAAAAAATAATAAAAGACTAGGGGTGCAGCTCAGTTGAAGGCCTCAAGTTCAATTCCCAGTACTGCAAAAAAGAACAGGATGTTACTCTTCAACCAGGGACACTAAGGCAGGCAAGCAGCATACTGCACAATCTGCAGAAGGCTCTCCAGCCACCTCTGCTACTTCAGACACCTGTGTCTAAATAGACTTTAACGGTACGAGGGAGAAATTACCCACTTGGGGGAATTGGGTCATAAAACACATTAATAACCCTGAATATCTGCCCAGGGAGAAGCCAGGTTTCAGCATGTTCCAGGATACACTAAACTGGTTTAATTGTTATGTAAATCGCATCCTCAGTCCCACCAATTTATCCCTGGTGGCCTATTCATCAGCACAGCTTTCTCTGAAATAAAAACTGAGCCAGACATGGTTTCACCCATGCACTGCTCAGCACAGCATAGCCCAGATTTCCCCCGACCTAGTGTCTATGCCCAAGCACCAAGGGGCCTCACGCAAGCCAGGGGCACAACCTCACAGTGATGGGAGGGGTCCTGACCTCCCCAAGCTTGCCCCCCCAACTCTATCAACTCCATATCTGTGCCCTGGATTCCCCATGTGGAGAGGCAGGAACCTGTGGGTTTCAGCTTTCATTTTTACACAGAGAGGTCAATAAATTTCAGTTAGCAGCTGAGAGACTTGTGTTACAGCATTTAACCATGGTGGGAGCAGACCAGAGCCCACGCAAAGCCCTCATCCAGAAAGGGGACAAACAAAAAAAAGAGTCTAGGACACCAAACCCAACAGTCAGGCTGTGAGGAGAGGTGGATCACTGGCCTCTGGGGTCCAGGTCCCAATACTCCCTGGGGAGGAAGGACCCCTAGCTCTAACAAGCTCCGCATCCGCCTTAGATGGGGTGTGTGCTGGTCTCTGATGTCTTCCACTAGGAAGATGACTCCGAGAGAACTGCAAAATGCACTGAAGTGGACGCCAGGGCTCCACTGTGCCGAGAGGCAGACAGGCTTCTTGAGACCAGGAATCACAGTCAGGTGGGGTTGGGGGCCAGGCACTTTCATCTCCCTGTCACCTGAGAGGTATGCTTTTAGTCCTTTACCTGCCAGGATCCCAGTCTCCAGCACTTGTAAACAATACAAATAAGCAGTTTTGGGAAAGTCCTTGCCATGGACTTTTTTAAAAAAGTAAAAGACAGAAGAGCAGGGGCTGGGTGGTGCACACTTGTGACACCAGCAGTCTGGGAGGCTGAGGAGGAACAATCCCAAATTCTAGCCCAGCCTGGGTAACTGCAGGGACTTACGGAGACCCTGTAAGGGTCCTGGGTTCAATCCTCAGGGCTGCACAAAACGTAAATGGATTTGTAGGCTGGGGCCGGCTGCCCTGTGAAAAGGAAAGGTGGGCAAAGAGGAGGTGAGAGGATCTGGCGGGGCGGAGCAGGAAGTGGAGTCTGTGCAGAACTCCAGTCTATGGAGAGAAGCTCAGAGTGTACAGTGGCCATGGCTGCACCAGGCTCCTGAACTGTGTGCCTGGAAACGGTACATTTTATGGATATCTTACCATAACACTAACAACGATGAAAGCCCACTTGGGAGGCCGTGGCAATAGCTGACGTGGGGGACAGATGACTTCTCATGTGCGCGGTATGATTGGTGTCCAGAGGCCATGGACAGGAAACAGAGAGGCCATCCCGAGGCCCCAGGTGCCACTGTCACCACTCCCAGAAATGGCTTCACCTCTGCCTGGTCACCTTATCCAGCCTTGTGCCACCCCACCACACCCCTGCTGTAGAGCAGCCTCCGATGAGGGGCAGTCTTGCTTTAAACTGCTTAGTGACACCGGTCATGAATCTCAATGGCACTTAAACAACACAAAGCAATCATCTCAGAAGAGTTACATGTGTTGGGCTGATAGCTCCTTCGGCTCAGGGAGCCCCAAGGCACTGCAGAGAGGAAGAGACAGCTGCCAGCCTGTTTTCCCCAAGGTACTTCAAGGAGCAAGACAGCTGCCTGGGCCACCCAGGCGACAATAGCCACATGGAGGGCAACCTGACGCTCTGTTAGATGCAGTCCACATTCTGCATGTGCAGCATCCCCATTCTCAGGTCCCACACCAGCAGGAAGGCCAGGAGCAGCTCTGTCCTCCCCTCTTCTGTCTTCTCCAGCGCCCTCAGAGAGGCTGCCTGGCAAGGACGCACTCTTCTTTTTTTTTTTTTTTCAGCAATGGGAATTGAACCCAGGGCATTTGCACTGAGCTACATTCACAGCCCTTTCTGTTTTTATTCTTAAACACAGTTTCTTTCACTAACTAAATTGCTCAGGCTGGGCTCAAACTCATCCCCCTGGCCTCAGCCTCCCGGGGTGCTGAGATTACAGGCAGGCACCACTGTATCCAGCTACTCCGTCCCCTTCTGTGAGGCTCTGACAGTGCCAGGGTCAGCAGCTGCAGCCCACAGAATCCTATTAGACTCTACACACCCATATACTGGACAGACCCAGGGTCCAGTCTCCTGTCTCTTAGAAGATGGTGGCCACCTGCCATCTCTGCAAGGCCAAGGACAGCCACGGCACAGCGACATTTTCTCAGTAGCGACATGCAGTCTGATTTTGCTAGTGATGACACAAACCTTGTCACTGTTCAGCCAGGGCAGGGGTGGCTCTGCCTTCCTCAGCTCAGCCGGAGGCACACAGGCCACCCTCAGAGACTGGTCTGGGAAAGCCAGTGGCAGGCTCCATCCCGACTGACGGAGGAGTAGGGAGCTGCCGGCACCCTTGGCTGCCTGCTTCTTGGCCTCTCCATTTCTGAAACAGGGACAATGGCTCAGTGATCCTGCCCGTGAAAGGCGCCAAGTGCTGCTATCAGCTGAGCCTGAAGCCAGCTGGAAATTGCAGGAGTCTTGAGTATTTCATGAAGCAGGAAGCAGGTAACTTTCCAGCCACACACAGGCTTTTTCCTACCATGTTTGCTTTTCCTGAAGCTACAGTGATGGGGACCATGTCCCTTGTGGGCTGAATACCATGTGATATCCCCTAGTTCCAAGCACCCTGTGAAGCTCCCAGAAGGCTGAGACTCCATTTCTGTTTTTATATGGCCACAAAATTCCAAGAACTGTGGCTAAAATGTTCCCTAAGCTCTGGAGGGACATCCAGTTGTCTACCTGACATCCTGAATTTGTGGGACATCATCCCCCCACCTAGGGCTTTCCCAACATGGGTCTGGTTTCAATACTCAAGCTTCTTGCTTTGCCATAGACAATGAAAACAATTCCCAGCTCTGCTCTGTTCCCAAGTCTAAGATGAATCAAACCCACCTATGTCTCCCAGGCACCTGGAATCATATGCACTTTCTTCCCTTGGCATGGGAGGTCCAGTCCCTGGAATGCACCCATGGAAGCCCAGGGGCTTAGGACTCTGGCCCCCTTACCCTGTGCTGGAAGCCAGTGGTCCTGCAGAAACAGGTTCTTGTTGTGGCTTCAGAGCCACGGACTTCATTCAGCCAGCATGTCACTAACCTGTCCCCATCAGATATCCCAGGCATCCTTCAGGTCTGGGGGATCCCAGTTAGGAGTCCTTTCCACTGCCATGCCCTCCCAGATCTCTGCGCCTGCAAGGCCTCCACAGTGTGGCCCACGTAGACTCACACATCTCTCCTGAAGGCTGATGAGGCCCCCTCACTGGGGCTCTTGTCCCCTCTGATCATCCCACCATGTCTGGGGGGCCCTGGCTCCCCTCATTACCAACTCCTGCTGGTGGTCAAAATCCCAGCTGAAGTTCCACTCTCCGAAAATACTCTATTCAGCCCAGCACAGAGGCACCCCACAGGCTGAGTGCTCAAGAGGTATGAGCTAGGCAAGTCCTGGGACAAGGTCAGGGACCCAAACCCAAAAGATGGGGCAGGCAGGTCTGACTGGGATACACACGATCTGACCCTGGTGTCCGTTCCATCAGAGCGCGAGGAGGAGAGCAGGGCTACAGCGTGTAGGACCCTGTGTGGACTAGTCTGGACACTTGGTATGAGGACACAGCAGCCACTCAGTCTGTCAATGTCACCAGGGCACAGTCTCTCCAGACAAGTTGAGAGTATAAACAGTACAAAGATAAAGACTGTGTGACATTACTAATGTAAATTAAAAACCCACCAAAACTAAACACGCAGCTTTCCTAGACATCCCTGTGTGTAAAGTATGAGGCGGGACCAGAGGCCCACCCCACAGATGAGCAAAAGGAAGCCAGGGACCTCAGCTGACCTGCAATGTGCTGTTTCTTTGACTTTAAAAGAGGGTTTAAAGCTGGGTGTGGCGGCACACACTTGTAATTCTAGCTACTGGGAGGCTGGGGCAGGAGGAGTGCAAACTGGTGAGACTCTGCCCCAAATAAAAAAGGGCTTGGGATGTAGCTCAGAGTGAAAGTCCTGAGTTGGATACCCAGGGTGGAAGGGAGGGGGACAGGGCTTAAAAACTGATGATGAAATGCAAACGAGCACCACAGCATCCACTCTGTGTGGGCTTCCGGTGCTCATTCAATTATTCTTCGCATCTCAGTTTTTAAAAGGCCTCAAAATGTGTACGAATTACTTAATTCCGCCCTTCCCCGGCCCGCTCTCTCTTTTCTGGTGCTGCCTTTCGCCTGCCACATTATTCCCGTGAGTTGAGAGTAAACCCGAGTTTGCCTTTTCGAGTACCCTGTACTTTGAACTCCCGTTCTCTGGACAAACAGCTCAGGAAAGCATGAGGAAACAAACACCCGCCACCCGCCACTCTGCCCTGATCGTACAAGCTTCAGAGCTGGCAGGGAGCATGGAGACCTGGAGACACCTCAGACAGCGAGGAATGAGACCTGGGAGTGGGGGCCTGGACCCCTGACTGTGATCCACTCCTGAGCGCTGCAACAAGTCCCGTCCCTTGGAACAGGCCTTGTGACCCACACACAAAGGCCTCCCGGAATGGATGTGTGCCCTCAGTCCCACGGATGCCACAGTGACAGCAACAGGAGATGTGGTAGGTGTGGGGTGGGGTTACCAGGCACACTCTATGAGCCAGACATGGAGGCGAGTACTAACCTATTCCGAACTCCTAACTCCCTCAAAAATGGCTCTGAGGTCGGGCCTCTGGCCAAGGGCACCCAGCTCACCTAAGCCAAATCTTTTAAAAGCTAAGCAAATTAACCTCCAATCACTTCCCAGCTTATTTCTGCATTTGTTTATGCAGCTCTCGTATTTGTTTATTAATTCTGCCAACAGTTAATCGACAAAGACCCAACTACGGGCCAAGCGTGATGGTGTGTGCTGGGGTTACGGCAGCAAACAACAAGGTGTGGCCATAAGAGTGCATCAGACAAGTGTAAGTGCAGCCACCACCACCATCACAGGCCGGCCAGATACCAAGGGAGACCTCCTGAGGAAATGCCACCTCTCCCCTCTGGGGCATCTCATTCTGGTGCCCAGTCTGGTCTTCAACTACTGGGCTCAAGCCAACTCCTCTTCAGCCCCCGGAGAGGCTGTACTACAGGTGTGAACCATCACACCCACCTAGGAAGAGCGTTTGAGAATCAAAACTATTTTCCCTCTGAAACACTCCCATTCCTTCTACAGCTAACAGAGGGAAAGGGAGTCCTTATCCCGGAGTTTATTCAATGTTACTTGGAGGTCCTAACAATTCAACAAGACAACAAAAGGAGCTAAGATACAAAAAAGTAAAAAGGAGACAAAATAATCATTATGTGCTCATAAAGGTTATGATCCAGGCAATGTAAGCCCCTGAAAGAAATACTGTTGCTAGAAAAGGTAAACAGACTACACAGACACAATGTGTCTTAACCTAGTGCCAAGTCTCCAACTTCTTGCTTACTAATGGCAAGGAGAAACAGTAACTGGTGAGGAAGCCCTTGGCAACACATAAAGCCAGGCACTGAAACTGTGTCATAGGGGGTGGGGGGGGTAAGCGCCCCCCTCTCAGATTTCAGCCAAAGATGCTTAACCTGATCCTAATCAGAATTTAGCAAATCAGACAAACCTAACTTAAGAACCCTTCATGTTTTAAGAATGCCAAGGTCAGGTAAAGATGGAGAGAGGCTGATAACTGTTTCAGGTCAAGGAGACCAGATGGTCGGGACAACAAACGCAACATTCCACCCCCCCATGGGCACTCTCTTGGGACAACGGCTCTGAAGGATGCTCTTAGAACAAGTGACAAAACTGGCATTCAGACTGTATGTCAGGTGACAGTACCCTGCCAATGTCAAATTTCCCCAAGTTAAAAACAAGATGGGTTATACAGAATATCCTTAATGACAAAATATATATGGCAATATTAAGGTAAAATGAGGGCATTAATATACAATTTGTTCACAAATAACACACAAATAGAAAATGCTGAAATCAATTTGGCAATGTGTTAAAAATGGACAAATCTGGGCAGGACTTACAGGCCTCACTGCTACTAACCTAACAACTTTCTTGGAAGCTTGAAAAATTTCTTTTTCAAAATGTAAAACTTTAAAAATAGATGAGATTATAAACTCAGACTAAATACACACACAGAGAGAGAGAGAGAGAGAGAGAGAGAGAGAGAGCCTACTTTCTCAAAATGTAAACGCTAACCCTTTAGAAAATAATGAAAAAGATCTATTCATCTCCTCAAAAGAAATATGTAAAAACCTAGAATTAAACGTGATGAGAAAAGTAAGACTCTGTATAAAGGAAGCCAGAGCTGGACCTCAGAGGCAGCCTGAGACAGCAGCATTCTCTGCTCCTGCCCAGGGCCAGACAACAAGCAGTCCAGGCCAACCAAGCCACCCAGGCAGCAGATGGGGCAGGCCTCCTGGGTTCCAATAAAACTTTATTTACAAACACATGAGCTTTGGCCTCTTCCTGGGCATTTAGCCCTGCTCTGGAATGTTTGGGGGCTGAGCTCTGGTCACTGGCATGAGTGGTAGTGAGATCTACAACCTCCAGGCCTGGCCCAACTCCCCTAGGACCTGCCCTGTCACTTCCTGCCAGCCCAAGGAGCCAAGATGCGGCTGGGCAGTCTGGGAAGTGTCTGATTTGACCCCAGGGGACTCACAGGCCACATCCAATATCTGCCCCTGCACCATCAAGAGACCTGCCATGGCAGGTCACCAGAGCCAAAGCATAGGTGCTGGGAGAGCTGGGTAGAGAAGTGCCACCTAGTGTGATCATGGCTGTGAGGACAGCAGATGAGCAGGAGATGTACTACACCTGCCTATGTACAGAGGGATCCCAATAACCACCAAGAACAAAATACCTCGGAGCTGGGCTCGTATGTAATCATGACAACCAAGGTATACTGTAATCCTATTTTCAAAAATGTCCCCTTAACAGCCTACTGCCTCTCTCTATTCTCCACAGGAACCATCTCTTGGACGGTTTACCCTCTCCTCTTGCTTCAAGAAGCAGGGCAAGAGAGGGCAAATGGCATGTGTGCTAATGGATTGGGAAGGCCGTCCACCATTCATCCTCCTGCCTCAACCTCCCAGAGTGCTGGGATCTGGGGCTGAGCCACCACACTGGACTCTCATGAGAGCCTCTTATGCAGCCCTGGCCTCCCACACCTCCCAGCACAGCTGTCAGCCTCATGCTCCACACTGGCCTCACCTCCCACCATATTGCCGAAAACCCTGCCTTACTCTCAGTGATCCAGATAAACCGAGGCAGTGGCAGTGCCCAGCACCTGAGTATCTGCAGGTCTACAAATACATCAAGGATCCCACAGAACAGCAGCAGTAGAGGCTACACCAATTTAACTTTTAAAAACTAAAATGGAAGTTCGGAGTGGTGACACACATCTGTGACCCTAGCACTCTAGGAGGCTGAGACAGGAGGATCAATCACAATTTCAATCCTAACCAAGGCAGTTTAGTAACATAGTAACACCTTGTCTAAAAAAAAAGAGGGGGGGATGTAGCTCAGTGAAAAGGCCCTGAGTTCAATGCCCATCACCACAAAGAACAACAGTAAGAAACCTAGAGTGAAATAAAAATCTCAGCTCAGTCATATCGACCATATTTCAAAAGTTAGGCAGCCTCACAGGGCTGTGGTTGCCAAACTGAGGGCAGCTGCAGGGCTCCCCACAGCATTGCAAGGGCAGGCAGGGCCCTGGAAACCTGTCCATATCATGAGCATGGACACAGCTGCCTCTACAGAGGGTGAGAGCAGGCAGCAAGCTGCCTAGGTGTGTGCTCCAGGCTGACATGAGCCAGCTGGAGAGAGCTGGATACTCCTGGGGGAAGATGTTTTCCTCAGCTGCAATGAGTCACTGTCCCGTTCCCAGGGCAGGAACGGACCTGTGAGGAGGCCAGACAGGGACCCTTTCCTGTGCAGCTCCCTCCTCTGGCCTCCAGGCCCCACCTAGCATGCCATCAACCACAGGCCAGCTCCAAAGAGCTCCTCAGTTTACAAATCACTGCTCAGGTCTGTTTGGAGTCACAGGACAGAAGTCTTTCTGGTCCCAGTGGCCTGTGCACACTTCTGAGGCCAACTCACTGGCTCCCTCGGTCACAAGCACGAAGAACTGACAGAGCCCACCAAGGAGAATGTTGTGCACAACTCCTCCAGGAAGCTGTGATGTTACTCTTCTGTTCGGTGGTACTGGGGATTGAACCCAAGGCCTTTGTTCTGAGCTACATCCCCAGCCCTTTTAAATTTTTTAAAATTTGGGACAGGTCTTGTCTTAAGTTGCTAAGTTGCCCAGCCTGGACTTGAATATGTGATTCTGTTGCCTCAGCCTCCCAGAGTGCTGGGATTACAGGTGTAGCTATGTTGGGCTTGTACAGTCATTTTTGGTGGGGAGGGGCCAGGGCCGGGGATTTAGCTCAGTGGTGCCGCCACCTGCCTCTTGCAAGGCCAAGGTCCCAAGTTTGATCCCTAGTACCAAACATAAATAAATAAATAAATAAATACATACATAAAGTTACTTTTTGAATCCTAAATGCTGCCAACCCTGTCCTAAGACCCAGAATATCTGTGAGCTGCAGCAATGCTCATCAAGGGAGGAGCTGGGGAGGCCCCTCCATCTCCACAGTGTGCCTGTGTGAAACCAGCAAGAACCCTTCGTCTCTGAAACCCCAGCCACAAACCACAAAGCCCTTCTGGAACAGGTACAGGAGCAGCTTTATCCTCTATGTAACATGGATTACAGGGGTGAGGGTCACACACAGAGAGAGTTCCTCCAGAGATTCACACCTGTTTGGGAGGGAGAAAATGCTTTTTCACTGAAAACCCCAAACAATGATCACTGTTCACATGCATTCTTGTGCTGCTGACCTCACTGGACCCCTGGTGGAGGGTGCCCCCCCACCCCACCCACTTACAGGAGAGGGCTTGACAATCAAAGAACCAAGGCACACTGCCTATGTCTGAAACCACATCCATCCAGATTATGCCACGAGATGCTAATGAGGCCACCGACTGAATTACACTTTTTTGTATTATTACACACCTTTCAAAATTTTCTGTAAAAATTTATTTTGCTGTGAACCCAAAACTGTCCTAAAAAACTACTTAAAAATATGCTGTCAGAGAACCTTTAAAAAAAGATTTTAAAAGGGCTGGGGATTTAGCTCAGCAGTTTGGTGGCCTGCCTTGCAAGCTCAAGGACCCGAGTTCAATCCCCAGTACCAAAAAAAAAGATTTTAAAGGAAGGGATACATTTAAAACTCTGCTCCTATACAAGACTTACTTTTTTGTTTTGTTTTGTTTACTTGAGACAGGGTCTTGCTGTAGTTCAAGCGGGCCTTGACCTCACAGTGATCCTCCTGCCTCAGCCTTCCCAGTGCTGGGATTACAGGCACGCTCTACCACACCCAGCATGACTTGCATTTTAAACAATTACAATTTACGGGGCTCAGGTTTAACTACTAGTAAACCTAAGGTTGAAAAAGACACCTTTTTTTTTTAGTATGGTACCAGGGATCCAACTTGGGACCTTGCGGTGGAACCACTGAACCAAATCCCCGGCCCAAAACAGACTCTTCTTTGAGCCGTAGGATGCAGAGACCAGGGCTGCAAGCAGTCAGTATTCATCCACTGCGAATATACCACACCAGACTCCTGCATGGGGTGAAGGGGTCATTCTGGGTGCAGGACAGAACAATAGACAGAAAGTTCATGTTGCGGCACAGGCTCCATGCTGCTGGGAGTTCCTATGAAGCCAAAAACATCCTGGGCTGGGTGAGGCCTCTGGAATGCTCCTTGGCCCGAGCTCTCTGTCAGTCCAAAAACAGACCAGAGGAGGAGTAGTCATAAAAGTCCCACTGTCTATTAAACCAGACATGGAAGACTTTTACTAAAAAAAAGGAGTATCTTTGTTCGAAATTTTTGTCTCAATTTGAGAAATAAAGGATACTTTCCATTAAAAAGTAATTTTTGAAGCCAGGTGTGGTGGCATATGCCTGTAATCCCAGTACTCCGGAGGCTGAGTTAGGAGAATCACTGTGAGTTTAAGACCAGCCTGGGCTACATAATGAGTTCCAGGGAGGTCTCAACTACATAGTGAGACCCTGTCTCAAAAAAAACAAAACAAAACAAAAAAACTAATTTTTGAAACAGGTTTCTTATTGCTATTTTTGAAGTTACTGAATAGAACAATTTCTTATTTCTCCTATGGTAAATATCAACAGTCACATCCTTCAAAAGATAAAGTACTTTGGGGTCCCCTGAGGGTATCTGCAGCCCTGAGACCAAACATCCCTGAAGTGCTGTATAAACAAAGCAGGTCCATGGTGATTCTGCCCTGGAGAGAAGCCACCTTTTGGCACCTGAGGGCGTGGGCTGAGGACCTTTAGCAACACTGGGGTTAACTCTGAGGGCACTGGAGAGCCACAGTGTTTCCAGCAAGGCAGGCCGGAAAAGTGCCTCAGTGCAGTACAGACACCTGGGAGCTAATGAGACCCCTAAGAGATCAGGTGCAATCGCGCACCTTTGTTCTTCCGGTCTACTGACCGCTCTGTCTGCCAGAAACCCTAAGACACAAGGCTGAACATCTGCACACAGCTGGAACTATGTCTAAGGGAAGCAAAACAAGAACTAAGCTTCCCAGGGAAAGCACCATTGACATCTAGAAATGGGAGAAGCCAGGCCTGTGCCAGCTCCTGGGGCCTGGTTGTCCTGGACTCCTGGTAACCATAACACACTGCCTCGGTTTCTCTATAAACTCGCAAACCACACACACACACGCGTGCGCTCTCTCTCTCTCTCCTTTTTACTTTCTTTTTAGTCAACCAGCATCATTATTTTACCAGGAAACCAAAAACCCCTGAAAAGGGATTGTAGCAAAGAAGAGCAACTACAAAATCTCCCAACAAATCACAATGCAAGGGCCTATTTCCAGGAAATCAAAGTAAAAGCATTTTTATATTATCCCTCATTTTAATATGAAATGCTTTAAATGTAGGGTAATTATGGAAATGAGGTACTACTGCAATCTGAGTTGTCATTAATTTAGCAAGTTTATCCCGATATTCACAAGATGCGAAAACAGCAAATAGTAAATTACTCTATATCCAAATCTATGTCTTAGTCTCAATTCAAAACATAATTTTAAACATAGCTATCTCTTCTTCCAAAATATTAAAAATGTACCCCATTAAGACACTACAGTATATATTTTTAGCTGTTACAAACCACACTCCTCCCTCATTATGAAAAAGGTTTTCACACATTGATTATACATTCAGTTCAACACAAACGACATAATAAAATCCTTCCCATACATCAAATTTTAAAATCCTATATAAACTTTTGTTACCTGGGTGACAAACCCATCTCAATGTGATCTAGATACTAGAAGGTGGCCCATATTTTTAATATGAGCTCAGTGTACCAGCACCCAATTTGATGTTTCCAAAAACCTTTTTTTATAAGTTGTTTGTTTGTTTGTTACATGTTTGTAGGACACAATGATTACACTTACTGTGGGGAGTTCGTACATGTACATAGTACATCTTAATTTGTGTGTGTGTGTGGTGCTGGGGATTGAACTCAGGGCCTCAAGCATACTTCAACTTCTGATCCTCTTGCCTCAGCCTCTTGGGCAGCTGGGATTACAGTCACCACTTACCATCCCCTACCCCACCCAGCCCTACCTTTGTAAATTTTTAAAGGATGTCAGATTAACCAAACAAACACACCCCATGTACAACAATGGCCAACTAGCAAGAAACCAATTGAAGATTTTATCTAGGGAGAAGCCTCCTTCCCCTTCTCAGAAGACTCTAGACACAGCAGGATCCACAGAGGCCCCTCTCCCTGGTACAGGTGCAGCTCTCAACCAGTCACACCTCCACCTTCACACTATCCCTGCCAGGACCTCCTTCCCAGGTCTCACCTGGTAGCCTCTCCAGCCCCAGTGCTGACCAATGCCTGTCTCTCCTGGTAAGGGGCCTCTGCAGCCTCTCCAGGTAGTACAGACCGACCCTGGCAAGGGCAGCCATTCCCACTTTCTCCTATACTGTCAGGTCCCTCCCTGCGTTCGGAGGAGACAGCCCAATACCCTCTCCCATTACCAGCAAGCAACCAAAGAGCTGGGACCCTACCCCTCTCTGGGACTGGGGGGCCCCAGGAGGAGAGGTGTGCTGTGACCTTCCCCAGACAGTGGGCCAGGAACTTCTCATGTTCACTAACTCCAGGGCATTTTCCAGTTAATTTCAAAATAACATCAAACTAATAACTAGTTACATGATGATTAATTCACCAATGTGGTACATCTAAGACTGACCAATTAGAGCAATGGGAAAGAGAAACTATGTTATGAGTGCTTTTACTGGATCTAAAACAATGTAAGAATTAATGTTTGCTCCCCATCTCCTTTGGTCCTTGGAATTAAAACCAGGAACTCTGCACTGAGCTACAATCCCAGCCCCTTATATTTTTTAATTCTGAGACAGGGTTTGACCAAGTCATAAGTTATAGGTTGGGCTTGAATTTGTAATCCTCCTGCCTCAGCCTCCCAGAGTGCTGGAATTATAAACATGTAGCACAACTCCCAGATAGTTACTCTTTCATCAATGGCACAAGTGTAGAAGCTGTGATCTCCAACACTGTCACTCAGAGTGCTTTGCAGCGGGTGGAATCCATCAGCACCGTTAAGTACCTGATGCCAGCAACCAAAGTATACCACAAAAAGTACAGGTGACAAAGCCAGGCATGACACAGACCTGTAATCCCAGTCCTCAGGAGGCTGAGGCAGGAGAATCATTGAGAGAGGTCAACTTGAACTACATATTGAGCTCAAGGCCAGCCTGATCTACATTAAAAGAAAAAACAAATTGCAAGGCAGGCAGCGGAAACACTGAGCTAAATCCCCGGCCCCTCATGCAGTAATATTGATGAGACAGCTCTGGCCAAAAAAATCATCATCATCATCTTCTTCTTTTCTTCTTCATCAAACTGGAGTTTGATCAGCTCTCTGAGTCCAATAACCAATTTCTAGGATGACGGGAGAGGGACAGAGTGAGTGTGTGGGATTCCAATCTGTAAGAGATGAAGGGGCTCATACAGAACACACGGCCCTGTCCCTTCAGTGAGGATCTATAGTGAGAACAGAAGAGAGGCAGCCAGAAATGCCAGGTTACGAGACACACCCATCAGCCCCTGCATCTGGACCTGATCCAAGGTGGCCTCTAACAAACACTCAGAAAGAGGAAAACCCCAGACAGAAGGGAAATCTGAAGGGAGTGGGCACAGCTGATAAAAGGAATTTACTATTATTTTTAGGTATGATAATGACATTGTGGTTACATTTTAAAGAGGGATTCCTACCTATCTGTGAAGTGCTTCTATGTAACTGGGCAGGGGGAAGGCGTAGCCACAAGGCAGAAACAGTGGACACTGGGTGACAGGCACAGGGAAATGTTTTTTAAAAAAAGTACAGCCAGGCATTGTGGCGCACACCTGTAATCCCAACACTAGGAAGGCTGAGGCAAGAAGGTTGCTATGAGTGCAAGGCCAGTCTGGGCTAAAGAGTGAGTGCAAAGACAGCCTGAACTACATAGTGAGACCCTGTCTCAAAAACCACAACAAAAAACACCAACTCCCCCAAAACAACAACAACAACAAAAGAACAAAGCAAAACCAAACAAACAAAAAAACTGATCAACTGGGCTTGTGGTGGTACATGGCTATAGTCCTAGAATATTATTAGGAGGGTGAGTCAGGAAGACTGCAAGTTTGGGCCTAGCCATGGGCATCTTCGAGAGACATGGATTCAAAATACAAAAATTAAGTAATAAGGAGTGGGGATATAGCTAAGTGGAAAGGCCCTTGCCCTGGATCAGATCTGCATTATCACCAGAAAAAGTAACCATGCTCATATAGAAAATTTGGAAAACAGAGTATAAAGTAAAAACTCCCATAAATCCTACCACTCAAAGCTATAGCAAAGTCTTGATTTTATTTTGACTGCTGGAGTAAGTCAGTCTTCCTACAAAGGACTTGGGAAAAGGGCTGCAGAAAAGGATGAAGAGAAGAGAAGAAAAGGGCTACATGTTGGTCTTTTACATTTAGCCAACACATCCAATGCAAATTCCATATCAGCTAGCAAAGTATAAAGTAAAAACTCCCATAAATCCTACCACTCAAAGCTATAGCAAAGTCTTGATTTTATTTTGACTGCTGGAGTAAGTCAGTCTTCCTACAAAGGACTTGGGAAAAGGGCTGCAGAAAAGGATGAAGAGAAGAGAAGAAAAGGGCTACATGTTGGTCTTTTACATTTAGCCAACACATCCAATGCAAATTCCATATCAGCTGCATCAAGAACCACAATATACACACACCCTACATAACCAGAGGAAGCTGCCACTGCTAATTTAGGAAAATGAACCTAAGCTAGGTCATTGTTTTGCTCCTATGGAAATTGCAAGTTCATTTAGTCATTAACTTGTTCATGCAACAAGCGAAACTCCAATGTCACCTATGACCTACCCGGCACTGAAGCTAATTAAAGATGATAGATTCTCTCCAAGAAGACACAGAATCAGAACCCTGGCAGACTCCCTCCACCCACATCAGATGTGGTTTTACACAAGGCCAGCACTGAGCGGTCACAGTTGTGATGATAAGGAATTTTTTCCCCTACCAGTAACAAAAACATTGAAGATTTGGAAAGAGACACTTCTGACAAAAATGGGGGTGAATACTGGTTTCCTTCCCAAGTGGGAACTGCGGAGGGGGTATGTGGTGTGTGTAAATGTCACCTATGTGCCTGTCACCTATCCAAAGAGAGAGGAAGAGGTGGCTGAAGTTTGCTCTGGGACTCTGCATGGGGATCAACATAACACAGTCAGAAACTGAAGCCAATGACCCCACACAGATTCAAGCCAACAATTCCACATAAGAAGAGATCACTCAGTCACAGCTGAGAAACTCAGCTTTGTATACTAATGGCAAAACTGGATATGAAAACCCAAGAGAAGAGACCCACTAAGCATTACCATTATTTTAGTCATTTAAAATATGCCATTATTTCCTCTCTCAGGATGTCAAAAACCTAAGCAAGCATCCAACTTTCTTGCACTGAAGTTTCTCAGTTATTTTCAATGTGATTAGCCTGAGAAGCTCAAGCTCACCCAGAAACACAAGTTCACACCACCCTGCCCTGTACATGTGACTACTTGGGTCTGAGCTTCCTAGGAACAAAGAATTCGAGACCACTGAACTTGTGGACAGGCTCCAACACTTCCAGCAGCACATGGCTTTCCTCCAGGACAGACGCGGACATGCACTTACTGGTTCTCCTTTGGCACAGTCGTCCCCTCCAGGTACAGCACACATCTCTGCCGACACAGATCACACTCAGAAGTGCGGCTGAAGTCGCATAAAGTCAGCAGGCATGGTGTTGTGCACATTTAAAGCACCAACTCAGCCAGTGGGCCAGTGCCTTCCGCCCGCCAGCTCAGCCAGCACTCCACAATGCACCCCACCAGGCATGCCAGCTCCCTGGAGAGAAAATTCCAAGGCTCTTTGTATGCCAACAACATTTCATAATAGACTCAGGACTGGCAATTCAGATGATCAGAACCCCGTGGGTGCAAACTTGCCTGAGTGCAGAGAAAACACCTGGGCGAGAGAAAGCCTTGTCCTGGACTCAGTAGGCTGGTTGTGTCCTGACAGAAGCCCCTGAGCATGGACCAAGGGGGGCACTTCCAGTCACATAAAGGGGCAGAAACAGGCCTTTGAGGCAGGAGGTGAGTGGGGGTGCACTTGCCACTTCCTCACTGGGGGAGACTGGCTGAAGATGTATCTGATGACCAGAATGGGGGGGTGACATCATGGCACAGCACAACTGCTACTCACCAAGTCCTGACCTGAGCAGCGCACACTTTTCAGGTTTGGGATGGGAAGAAGGTACACTTTCCTTCTCACGCCCTAACATGAGTGAGTCACTGCTGAGGTAAAAACTGCATGCTGCATCTCTCTCACACACACACCCAGACTTGGGAAGAGAAGGTGATGGACAGAAACACGAGGCCTGCGGGGGCACCCTAGCAAACACTCCCAGGACCAGAGCTGCTCATAAAAGCAACTAATAACACACTCAGACACTCTTGAACGTGAGTGGCACTGAAGGAGCCCAAATACTACAGAAAGGTTGGAGGCAATTACGGAGTAGAAAAAGAAAGTGCTGCAGAGGAAGTGAGTAATTAAACAGGCTTTCTACCAAAGCACAAGCAGACCTCGAGGTTCTGACGAGCAAAGGCAGGGAAGAGCAGGCCAGAGCAGGGGTGGGGAGGGAACCTACCGGCAGGCACAGTGTATATGGTGCTCAGCCAGGCCAGGCCAGGGACTCTAAGGGGGCTCAGATGTGTTGGTTCTGGGCTCCCCACCTTGTTGTCCTCAGGATGCAGTAAAGCAGAGACCCTCCTATCCAGACCCCTCTTGGCCAAGCCTCTACATCCATCCATATCTGCCCCTAGCAACTGGACCGCTAACCGGGGACCCCCACCTAGGGCAGCTGTGGACCCTCCACTTCCCAGGCCTGATGCTCTGTGCCAGGTGCTCAGACTAGACAGGGCTGGGGTGGCCCACTGGTCCACACTGGAGAGATGACCATTGGAAGCCAAACTCTTGAGGTTTAAGGATATAGAAACCCAGGGGTCCAGGCAGGGCAAGGGTGGGGAGAATAAAATGAGACCCAAGTCTCTTCATGGAGTGACTTAGGGGCCCAAGCCTGCAGAAATGGGGATCGGGGGTATACCTGGACATGAAGGCCAGATGAGGTTAGGATTATGGTGACTAAGGGTGGGTCAGCACGACTGATATCAGGCTATCCCAAGGCTGCAAGGCTAGGGAGCTGGAGTCAGGGGTGACCTGCAGATTCAGGCCACGAAGATTCAAGGCAAGACTCCCAGGGATTCATTCTCGGAGTTTGGAGAGGTTAGGCCAGCTGGGGTGATGAGTTAAAGTGACCCAGGGTCCACTAGGTAGGGACAGGGTGATTTGGGGGTTCAGGCCAGGAAGGATATGGGTCGCAGGCGATCCAGGTAGTTCGGGGAGGGTGGGGTCTAGCAGGGTGGGGATGACCCGGGAATTCAGGCGGGTCAGGATCAGGATGGGGGTAACCTTGGCAGTTCAGACCGGGATGTTCAGAATGGGGGACCCTGGGGTTCATCCCGGGAGGGGGGGCAGGGGTAACCCTGACAGTTCAGACCAGGCGGGGCCAACCCCGGGCGGGGGAAATCACACTCACTGGGGGGGCAGCTGCAGAGGAGGGGCGCCGCGCCGCTGGAAGGCCCCGTCCACGAAGACTCCGTTCTTGCCGAGGCAGCGCAGGTAGAAGTGCGGCTCCTGAAAGCTGAGCTGCAGGTGGCGCCGCGAGATGAAGCTGGACAGGCCCATACTCAGGTCCACCGAGCCCTGGGACGAATTGCGGCCGATAGTGACGCTGGGCTGCCGCATGAGGAACTCGAACTCGC